CAAACCCCCCTCCCCCCCGCTGAGCCGGCCCGGTCGATGCTCTTGCAAACGCATAAGTACTCACAATAATTCCCTGCCACCATGCAGTTAAATTTGAAGCGCTGACGCAATACGACTCACCACGTGTTGGATGTTGCCACACAAAGTGACGGAATATAGGGATTTGGTAGATTTCCATTCTAAAGGCTTTTTAATAAGTATGGCAACATTTTGTGACGTTTCATTGTTGCTGACGCGTAGTGAAGTGTTTTGAGAGTCATGTGAAGGCAACAGAACTTACGAAACGCATACGATTTTTTTTATAGTTTTTCATTTCTCGATGCATCCTTAATGTGTCGGAATATACCGCATTTACCCTAGTATGGCGTGCAATAGTATGACATCACTATCTCAACCATCAACAAATGTGTGGAACTAAGACAAAGCTTCAGCAATATAAAGGAAAAAGTTGAGAAGTGCCGGAATTACCCACGATGTCGGAATATACCGCATTTACCCTAATCATATAATAGGACTAGGTACTCGTACTTTTCATAGGTACAAAGTGTAGGGCTTGATTAAAACATAACATTTGCAAAACCGTGCATGTCATGCTATTAAATGGTGATCCAGTTTTGTTTATAACAATTTTTTCCATGGGCCGATGGCCGGGCGATGGGCGCTGGTGCAGGATTGCTGTTGCTAGGCCCTAACTTGCTGGCAACTTGAGAACAAGAAGCGGCGCATCGTAGAAAAAAATAGATCGAAAGCCATGGTATAGACTCGTATAATTGAGTGGCAAGGCAAGTGCAGTGGTAACATTAACATAAGTGCGCTACTGCGCTGCGCTGGCAACTTAATAAGCATTTCACAATTTAATCAATTTTCATCTTATGGTGAGAACATAAACAAAAATTCTCTTTAACATTTCACTAGAGCCTGAGGTCAATGCATGATGAGGCTGAGGTTGAACTGTTGCTCACAAATACAAACTATTTTAAGGACTGAATTGAATCAGAACTTTCTAGCAAGTTCTACGTAAACGGTAAACAGGATCGCATTTTTCAAGCGGTTTGAACACTACAAATCGTGGTTTTAAACAGTAATACGATGTTAATATATGTAAACGGCACGTTGAATTCAGTATCTACTGAGTGGCTATTGATAGAATTCATTGACGGTAGATGCTTCAAGTTAAAATAATAGAATTCATCATTGACCCTGGAGAAGAGCTTCTTCACACAAACGAGCAACTACAAACACGACCATCATGTTACGACGTCTGCAATTGCGCTGAAAATTTCCTTGTTTATAACGTTGACGGTTGACGCATAAATAAATTTTAAAAAATTTATATACTCGTACAATTTTTTGACGAATTTTACTTTGGTTAAAAGTTTTTATACCCATATAGGAAATAAGCTTATATAACAATAATATTAGTATTCATTTGTTTCATTAATTGCTCCTCACGAATCGGTTTACAGACACTTATATCACAGAGTACAACCTAAGTGTGCATCACGGTAATATTAAGCAAATTATATGTTGAAGAGACACTATTTCAGCATTTTGCAGGAAAATAATGCAATGTTTATTTCGAAAGAGTTTTACCCTAGACCGCCGCTCATCGCTTGTGTCTAAGCAAGTTGAAACGCATTCGGCATTGTAGGTGGTGTGAACGGATTGGGCTTGGGGCAGATTTGGAGCCTTTGCGCCGTATGCGGCAATAGTTCACTGCTACATTAGGTATTCCTCTGTCAAAGTTCTATTCAAAATGGCCACATCTAGCATTGAGCAGCTGAGAAATTATTTTGAAATTCATTCTAAACAGAAAGAGTACGTTGGACACTTCAGTAAAGTCCATACTCTAGGCTGGAACGCCGATGGAAGACGTCTGGCATCGGGATCGTATGACAAGTGTGTCACGATTTTCTTGTTCGACAGTCAACGTGATACTTTGGTGAGAAATTATCCCGTAATTTTTGAATATGCATTTTGACGCGCATGTCTCAAAATTAGGTCGCTTAAACATTGCAAAAAGAACTGTCAAAATGATTTTCAATTTGACAAGTCTGTAAAAGTATTAAGTATGTAGGCTAGCTAGCACATTTTATTAAAATTAAATGGCATGCAAATCATCAGATAGGTACCTAGGGTCATGAGCAGTCTGGTTTGACTGAAAGTCTGAAACTTAGGTCCCCCCGTCCCATAGACATGGTTTGATAAAAATTAAGGACATAATTTGATACATTTTAGAAGTGTTTTATCAAGAGTTTGCTGCTTTGCATTTATTTTCAATTCATTTATTTATTATTTATTTTTCAATTTCATTAATCAGAAAACTTCTAGAAATAATTTTATTTTTCAATCTGATTTTAATCACTTGACTATCTTTTTAAATATATATATACAACACTCAGGATGACCAATGATGTATGTTTTTGGTGAATTTTCCCGCGCATTTTCTCTTTTTTTAAGCTATTGCTGTGCACAGTTGGCGCAATGTAATGAAAATTGATTCTCTTCGCGCACGTGTTTGCGCAATCCCGGCCATCAATTCTACGTCGCGCTGCCGCGCACGAGCAGTTTGTGGAGGAACAGATGTAATTCTCACATTACTCAGTACAGTATGCCTTTAATTATCTTTCAATAATATATGATTTTTCTTGATACGGAAATTTGGTGAATGAGAAATCTAGAACTTTATTTTAGAAGAAATTTTCTCCAAAGTCATATTTCAACACTGAACACCGTCTGTTTACATTTTGTATGTATAATAGCCGCAGTTTACGATTACCGTACGTTCTGTATCCGACAAGGTGGACAAGCGGAAGAGTCAGAAGTAACCCGGACATGTCTTACATTTTATTATTGTCAGTTCGACTCACGTAGTCAATATACTCGCGTATATTGTTGACTAAAATAATAGGACTATTTTAGCTTTCTAAAGTACGGCGCATGGCGCATTTTTTTACCAGCATAGTACGGCGCACCGCGCAGGTCGTTAAAATGACAAAATAAATTCCCGCGCGCCTGGCACATCTTCCTGACCATGGTATATATATAATATTTTACAGTCACTTATATATGTTGTATATATATAGTTCAGATGGATTACCTATCTATAATTTTTTTCAGAGGAAGGATTACACATACAAAGGCCACAATGGCAGTGTTGATCAGCTATGCTGGCACCCAACACATTCAGAACAGCTCACCTCTGCCAGCGGTGACAAGACTGTACGCATTTGGGATGCTCGTGTACACAAGTGCTCTGCAACAATATCAACCAAAGGTAATCTGTTGTTAAATTTTGTATGCTTTTTTTATTTGTTCAGGCATTTACACACATTTATCCTTGGTTTTTCTATTGGGAAAGGGACATTATGTATTCTATTCCATGTTATACTTCAAACAGTCAATAGGATATCATTTATCATTACTACAGTTTTTAAATATGCAGTTAGATGCAGAATTGATTGAATGATAAGTCTCAGTCAATGCTTGTCTCCAATGATTAATCTAATATTGTATACAGTTGAAATCTTGAAATGGATTGAATTAATTCAAATTTTCCTTGCCACCAGACACTAGTATCTAGCACTGAAGACAATAACTACATGGGACATTAATCTTAGACCTATAATATTGATGTAATTAAGGAGTAATATGAATTACAGTGAACTCATGTTAGCAGCTATTACTCTAAAAAAAAAAATCCAAGGCTAAAAAGAATATTCTCTGACAGCCAAAAAAAGTAAATTTTTCACCTACTTAATTTGTGAAATTATATTTATTATTTTTTAACTGATTGGATACATAGCAAACTCAAGATTTAAGGAACATTGGTCAAAAATTCAAATGAATCCTAAGATTTTTCCATACTTGAATTCTTTGTCTGATGTACCTGAAATTGTTCTTTGTAAATTTCTAAACAATTTTTCAGTTCATCATAGTTCATTATAAATTGAGGAAAACTCAATTTATAATAGATATTATTAATGCTCTCTTTTGCAGGAGAGCAGGGTGGAATTAAAGTTATGTTAGTTCATATATTCAAGATTGATCCAGTCTGGTTACTGAATCAATTCCAAAATATTAGGTAATTATAAAAGGAAAATCTGATATCAGAGTTTTACACCCAAAATGATGTGCTCTTTTCAGCTTGTAAATTTCAAAACCTCTTTCTGGTTCTTGAAAAATGTCTTGCTTTAAAATATACCTAGGCAAATACTAATAATGTGCTCCATTTCAGGAGAGAATATCAACATCACTTGGTCTCCTGATGGTAACACAATTGCTGTGGGCAACAAGGAGGACCTGGTTTCCTTCATTGACGTACGTGCACAGAAGATTGTCAATGATCACCAGTTCAAGTTTGAAGTCAATGAACTTACCTGGAATAATACAAATGATCTTTTCTATCTCACAAATGCGCAAGGTGGACAAGGATACGTTCACATTTACAAGTGAGCAATAATGAGCTATTCTATGAAGATATTTAATTTTTATTGGTTTCTATTTTTAAATAAACAAGATAATTTTATTATTTATTATTAAATATTTCTAAACTGGTAACGGTAAAGTATATAAATCATGGATCATGTGGAAATTGTCACTACACGCCATCTTGTACTTCAATAAATTTGTTCATTTTTGGTGTGAATCATATGATACATATTGATTGCACAAATGTTTCATTATTTTTCATAATTAAAATCTCTAGTTACAACCATTGTACTTTTTTTACCTGAGCAGTCATTTATGAAGACTTGTATTGATTTATTACAGTTATCCAGAGATGGAATTAGCTCACGCAATACACGCTCATCCAGGGAACTGCATCTGCATTAAATTTGAGCCTCACGGCCGATACTTTGCCACGGGATCTGTGGACGCGCTCGTCTCCGTATGGGATGCTAAGGAGCTCTACTGTATGCGCACTCTGCCCAGGTGATGGCTTGCAAACCTTTTGTTATTAATTGGCTGTTGAAAAATGTGGTAAATTATTCTTTGTAAGGATATCTGTTTCATTCTGTAGAAAAAATAATGAACTTAGAACATCTATTGAATAAGATGCTTGGTAATTTCAAAGTATCGTTACAACTGCTATTTCTTTTAAGATGTAGCATCTTGCATGCTCATTTTTCACCTAAGTCTACACACTGTTGGCCTGTATCAAATCTATTCCCAATCATAAAATATTAAATCATTCGTTCTACTATATTGTATATATTTTCTGATGTAAAGTTGCTTTTGCACAGGCTTGAGTGGCCGGTACGGACGCTAAGTTTCTCGCACGATGGAGAGCTGCTGGCCTCTGGCAGCGAGGACCAAGTCATTGACATCGCCCACGTCGCGTCTGGGGAAAGAATAGCCCACATCCCTGTCTCTTTCCCCACCTTCACGCTTGCATGGGTCAGTTCCTGGCTACTGAAAAACTGTATTTACTTTAAAATTTGATTTATTTTATATATTATCTGTTCAATTACTATGTACAATGTCCTAGCTTCTACTATTTGTCAAGTAGGTAATAATTTTCAGCAAAGTAACTTGAACTCATTTGTGAATTCGTTTAATTTAACGTGTTTTTTATGCTGATTCTTTCCAAGATAATCATTTCTTTTATCGTCTTAGTCGATAAAAGAAAATCCTGCATTGTAAGAAGAAATTGCGGTGTGACATAATCCTGTGATAAAAATAGGATACGAAAAATTGGTATAGTCATCCAATAATCCTTGTATTTGCTTGTCGTAATCAAGCAGTTCTTATACTGATAGCTGACTAATATTACTTATTCATTTTTTGTGCATCTGCCTACTAACGTTGCAAGTCTTGCTTTCTTGGTGCTAAGAAGACGGTATTGATCGCTATTCCGTTGCTCTGTTAACATTATTAATACCACTCTATTAGAATAGTGAACATTTTGTTAATTCTGCAATTCAACTTGGTTTCGTGATATTAATTATCAGAATGATCAAGTGGCTTCTGGCTGCACCTCGATAGCTGATGCCAGGTATACCTAATGTCACGAGCTGACTAGTATAACCTCTTTCACTAGTCATCTTGGTATAAAAAGAAATCACTAACAATTTCTTCTTATTTAGGATTCCTTGTTAAATTTGTTGCTGCTATTTTGATCCAATAAACAGATCACTTATGGTTACACTAACTTCAGATAAAGATGCTGAGCTTCAGTGCAAGTTAAAAAATATAACTCGGTACTCTCTGCAGTGAGTGGCAGAGAGCGCATTTTCTCGTCGACGATTACGTGAAGTCACGGACGGACAGACAGACGGACATGGCGAGCACAATATTGCATTATTCCATAAATGAGAAAATGCACTAAAAATGGAATTTTAATAAGTTGTTCACGAGTTCGAGTCATGCTAATAAGCCCGCGTCGCGCAAAAGAATGTCAACATCGTCGGCTCAGACCAAAATTCTTAGAAACATTCACTTTATCAGTTATTGTGCATACACAGAGATAGTATGGGTAAATCTTAGTGATTAAACGAGTTTCTAATGTGCAGCACCCACGTCACTTCCTGCTGGCGTACGCCTGCGATGACAAGGACGACCGAGATCGTGACCGTGATGCTGGCACCGTCAAGCTCTGGGGACTCGAGAGGGTTTAACTATAAAATAAGTAATTAAGTCGAAAATAAGTAACTTCAAGTAAAAGGAAGTCTGCCCTTGCGTGGGTATGCTCATAGTGGTCCTGCCATCAGTGATCATTTCAATTTGACTGATTGGTTAATTTCTTTCGATATAGAATTTCGGATACCGGAACAAATTTATCCAAATTTTAGTATGGAGGACACGTGAGGGTTGAGTGCATAGGGTGGATGCCTATTAATCATATTCATGAATCAACTAAATATTGAATGCAATTTTTGGATTATTAAATAATGACTCCGGGAATAGTTTTTCTTCAATTTACCTGAATATAAAGACTTGCATGTTGATTTCTGAGCTTACTCATTTCAGGACATTTTTTCAAGCTGTTTCAAGATTTTCTGTAAGGTTTTTGCCGAGAAAATAATAATAAACTTAAGCTTTTTTTACGAGTTGTATTTCATCATCCCTTTCCTAACGTCACGACATAAACACACGTACCGTATGCTAAGATTAATCAGTATCTATAGAAGCGGTTTTGTAAATTAATCATATCTTGACAGTGCTTACTTTCACTATATCGTCGGCTCACAAATGCTGACAAGTTGGTACGGGAATAGGCAGTTTGTCAGCGACAATTTTCAAAATTTCGTCTGTTTTCTTGCGCCAGTTTGAGATATGCTTAGCAACGGCCTGCCAGTGCTCCCCGTGTCTAGGGTCCGCCTTGACACAACGCTCCTGCACCTCCAGTTGCTGCTCTGGAGTCCCAAACACAAGTTCCAGTTTGTAGTACCAGGCCCAGGCGTCCCCCAAGTCAGGGTCGATCTTCACGGTTTTGTTGAACCATTCGCGTGCCTGGAAGGGAGTAAAGGTTTGGTCAGATGATGAATGCACGATTTGCGTATGAGATCATTTACGTTTTGAATGCATAATAGGAAAGTAAGTCGGCTGATAACTCGTTTAACGTAAATATTTTAAAAGAACGTCGTGCAACGAAAATAACCCTTCAGGCGGTGAACAGAGAACTTGGCCACTGTAGAACATTGTAAGGCATTTTTGCTATTGATGATTAGTGAAAAAACTTGCATTACTGTTGTCGGTAATAGTTACATCTCAAAGGGTTATCGAAAGTTCAATACGAAAATGCAACAAGCAAACGAACTTCGATCCCATTCTCACAGAGACAGGACGAGTACGAAAATGATGAAAACGGAATAGTAGGTGCAAAAAAACTTTGTTTTCAGGTCCGATCAAACACTGATAATGAGTGCGCTAAAACTGCTGATGAGCTCAAAATAACTTCGTTTTTAGCTACATAAAACCTAAATAATAACGTGGGCACAGTTACCTTGTTCTTACGACCGTCCATCCAGAACATGTTGGCGACGGCGAGCACGACCCTGGCATCGTCCTGACACTTCTTGAGGGCGTCGACGCTCTTGCTCTTGCGCCTCGCGTGGTCCTCGAGGAAGATAGAGCTCGCCCACAGCAGGCCTGAGCTGGGGCACTCCTGCAGCGCCCGAGCCATCAAACTCCGAGCAACCTGCACACATGCAAACGCTATGTAGTACATATGCTTACATATTCACTAGCATTATTATTAATTAAAACCATTTATTCTTCATGCAATTAGTTCAATGCACACGAATACGGCTTTCTTGTGATTAATTATCTTACATGTTAAAAAACACGTGTACGTATAGTTGTATGTATAATATTTAGTATGGTACGTATATAGCCTTATAGTTTAACAAGAATAAAAAATCTCAATACAAGTTTTGAAATGTTTGGCTTAAACTACGAACCTCTTTGTTGCCAAGTCTAATTTCGAGCCGCACGGCCAACAGCCACAGCTGCTCGTTCATGGGGTTCCTCACACGCGACTTCTCCAGTGTCGCTCTGGCGGTGGTAGCGCGACCGCGTCGCTCTTCCAGAGCTGCCAGCAGCGACCATAATGGAATACTCTGTAGATAAAGTGCCGCTTTAATAAGCATAAACCCCATCGTCCCTTATCAAGCATTCAAATAAAATGAACGTTCATTATGGAAATACCACGTCGTATCTTACTAACATGCATTATTCCATAAATAATTCGACACATGGATTTTTTTCCTTAAAGCCACGTTAATGGTAGCATCCAAGGTGGAAATTTAAATTAAATTGAAAATAGCACAATTCAAATTTTTAGAAAACCACGCATGTATCTAGGTGAATTAGTCGATTTCCCACAGGAATTATATTCACACGTATTACCTGCGTGCATTTCTTGACAGCCTCTCTATAAACATCCCAGGCTGCATCGATAGCTCCTTCCTGTTCGAGTATCTGTCCCTTCATCATCCAGAGTTTAGGGAAGTCGCTGAACTGTTTTATTCCGTCATCAAGTAACTTCTTGGCGAGGTCCAGGTTATTAAGGGCCCATTCCAGGTGGGCAGACTTCATCATAACCTTTGGGGTAGCCGCCTGCGAGCGTGCCTTAGCTAGCAAACGCCTGGCTCGTTCATATTCGTTGTTCTCAGATTCAAGTTTAACAGCAGCCAGCCAAATTTCCTCTGAGTTTGGGTTGGCTTTGAAGGCGAGAGCGAGGATAGATCGAGCAGCAGGAACATCGCCGGCTAGCCACTTTGACTTCGCCCCCATAAGCCACAAGATTTCCTCCTGTGGACAATGTGTGACAGCTTGTTGGAGCAGCGATTCCAAGCTCTCCCTGGTGCCGTGCGAGCGTTCGAAGTGAGCAGCTGCCAACCAAACAGATTTCTTTTTTGGGAAAACTGCAAGAGCATGAGCATAGATTGCTCTTGCGCATTCGTATGCGCCTTGAGAAGCACAAGAATCTGCGTCCTCCATCCATGTGTGTTTGCGGTCCTCTTCTTCAACGCCGTGGCCAATGATGTGCTTGATGATTGCCTGGCAGGTCAGCACAGAGCCACTCTGCTCTGCCTCCACGGCGTCTTTGATCCACTGATCTCTGTTAAGTTCGACCATATTGGCGACCAACGTGTTTATTGCACGGTCGATGATTTTACTCACAAGCATCGCGTTGTCATTTGCCTCTTCAAGTTTGGCAGCCGTGATCCAAATATTCCGATCCTTAGGGTTACTTTCTCGAGCCTTGTTGAGAACTTTGCGAGCGTTCTCGTACGTTTCTAGTTTAGCCAGAGCGAGCCAGAGATCAACTGATGTAGGGCAGCACTCAACAGCACGACTGAGTAGAATTTTAGCATCTTCCTCTTCTTCCAAATCAACGGCACATTTCCATAACAACTCCGAATTCGGGATTTGTTCCAAAGCTTTCCTGAAAACTTTCTTCTTTGCTTTCGGTTCGGTTTCCAGATTTGCTCCTTTGATCCATAGTCGAGGAGAGAAAGGCAGCGTTCGAACGGCAGTGGCGATAACTGCCTTTGCCATTTCAGGAGTCTGGAGTCGGGCTGCCTCGAGCCAAACGTCCTCAGACTTAGGGCACATCTCGGTGCCTTTCATGATTAGGTTCCTGGCACTCTGCACTTTGCCAGTGACTTCTTCCAGTCTCGCAGCAGCGATCCACGCAGGCGGATGGTTAGGGTTTGTTTCGCGTACATTTTTAAGCAGAAGTCTAGCTTTCTTGACGTCGTTGATGTCGCCGCCATACTGAGGCAACATACTCTGAAGATCTGTTAGGTATCCTTTTGGATCCACTACCGTTTGACCCCCAACAGAATCAGAAACTTGGCTAAGCTTCAAGCCCATTAGAGTGTTGCGAGCTTGGCCTATCTTGCGCAAATCGAGGTCACCAGATGGAGTAACCATGCCAGGGCCGACGGTGTTTGTGCCAGGCATCATGGAGGCCAATCTGAATAACAGAGAATTCACTTATCAGTTTGCTGAATAGAAAATTTGCTGGAAAGCCTCCTTAGCTATTGGAATACATAGAACTTATTGAACAAGAGAATAATTTTTTACAAGTATAAATCAGAAGACTATTAAACGTGAGCAATGATTATTTATCACTAAGTTTTAGAGAACTTAAAATTCAAAATTTGAAACAACCATAGTGACCTCATAGATTATATGTTTTGAGGGCCACTCATTGGTAACAATGGTGCAAATCATGAAACTATGAAGAGACAAAATTAACTGTAAGTGGCCGAATCGCAGCTTATACACCATGTTCACTTTTAAAACATAAGTGAAAAAATTAGATCATTATTCACTGCAGTGAGTGACAGAGCAAATTTTCTCGTGCATAAATAAGTTCTCACTGCGATTAGTACAGTGCACTGCACTCAGTACCCGGTACATCATTTTGCGTTAGGTATATTACACTGCGCCTGCGGTTAGTTTATTAAAAATTATTTAGTATATAATGGGGATCAGTTTATATTTCATAGAAGATAGATGAGGTTTTGATAGACCTTGGGTCAAGGTCAAGACTCGAGACCTCTGCTTCGACCCTAAACCTAATACACATATCAAAGTTATTATTTTTACATAATTTTTGACATCATCAAGTTCATCAATGAAACAATTACCACAACGCGTGACAAAGACAAAGTTCAGCTGTACATAGGATACCAGCATACATAAGCTGTACATAAGATACCAGTGAACTCTACAGGATGAGACAATGGTCCTCCAGCCTATTCCTTTTCCTCCTTTATTTTGGTGCGTGTATTATTTATTTATTAGGTCAATTATTTATGATGACCGAGACCAAGACCTGGGTCATGTTACATATTTTTGAAAAGGCCAATCTTCAACCAATCTAAAACTATAATCTAAATCACAACACATTTATAAGTATTCTTAAAATCAACAAAAACCTGAAGTCACAGACCGACAGAAGGACAGACATAATGAGCACAATAGGGTCTTTTCTTCCATAAATGAGAAAATGTGCTAAAAAGAAAAATTTCATAGCTTTCTAAAAAAGAAAGATTTTATAGCTTTCTAATTTAGATTGAGGCATGAATTCTTAAATTGGCAAGTTTTTTTTGAAGTAGGAATTTAAAAATATTTTTGATCATCCAAACTTCTATTGAAGGGTACATAAGGGTATAATAATTTGAAAAGGTAATAGAGCACATAAGTCGTCTCACCCTGAAGTAGGATCAATAGCAGTGACAGTTTCCCCACCCATGTTCCGAGCCAAAACGCTGTCAGGCAGGGGGGTAAAGCGCTCCATACGAGGGTTGCGCTGCTTCTTGTTACGAGCATCTCCTACCTCAGGGATGCATGACCATTCATCTTCAGACACCTGCAATTAACCAATGTTGCAAACATATTTATTCACATACAATATCTCAATAATTATTATTACATACTTAGGTGCAGTGCAATAATAAGTTTGAAATTAAATTTAGTTAATCATCAGCAATCAATAGGTACTTTTAATTTACAAGTTAACATAGATGTTGACTGCATTCCAAACTGCTACATGAGAATGAAGTAATAAATTATTCAGGCTAAGTGCTACAACCAATACATAATACAACAACTAAAAATGGCAGGAAATTTCATCATCAATACTTTTTAATAATAAAAGTTTTAAATAAATCTCAAAACTGCACCTGAGCCAGGTCTCTCTTAAGATCACTGAACATCTGTTGAATTTTGGGTCGCTCCTGGCGATAGTTTTCCAGTTCTTCTCGACGTCGCTGCTCACGGTATTCTTTGCGCTTTTCATCCATTCGGTCATCAATGCTCTCGTATATTGCATCTGCTTCTTCATCATCTTTGTCATAGGGATCTTTGTTGCACAATGAACCTCCATATCCAGTGAACTGCACAAAGTTTATACATTGTTATGCTAATTGCTACGTGTATGTGTGAGAACCTAATGTGTAGTTTTTATCATATTAGAGACTTTAGAGTCTAGATGAATATAAAACCTGAAATATTTTGTATTTGATGAACCAAATTCTTTTTCTCAATACTTTTAGTTATTATAAAATAGTTTTTTAGTGGTGAATGCATAAAATTGTGTAAAGATTGGAATATAAAATAGGAAGTCCTCACTTTATTAATTGCATATATAGAAGTAATAGATGCATGTACAACATATTTAGCCGAGTACTTTCATAAAAAGTACTTTTTAATAATGGCCAATGAAACAAATATCAGAAATCATTAGGATTATAATGCTTCATATCAATGCTAAAATAATACATAGGTTAAGGATATAATGACTAATTTGAAGAGCTTCAACCAATAGAATTCAATTATCATGCTTGGTAGTTATAATATTGTCTAATTTACTCATTGATTATTGATCTCTGCAGCACAGCATGTACCTCATCATAATTAGCATCATTCAAATCTTCTTCCTCTTCCTGCTTCTTGCCACGTTTAGCTGGAGGGGCATGTCTGTCATCTGACACGTCACTTGCATCACGGGCTGGGCCAATATCAGACCGAGTGGTGAAGCCAGTTGCTCTGCACAAATAATTTTAGCATAAATCTTGCATAGCAAATTTACAGAAAAATAAAATGAATAAATAATTTTAATACTAGTTTTCCTCATAAAAATTCTATATATATATTTTATATAATATATATTTACCTATATATTTAGGTATATTAGATTTATCTCACTTTTAATAATAAAACTTGAGTTACCAATACCCATATTTATGTAAAATTTAAACCTTTTCTTTGGCTCTTGCCTGATTTCTTGTTTGAAAAGAATTAAAGAAGGGAAGGCTAAAATTGATTTTTCTTGCAATTTTTAAAAATTAACCATATAATAATCATTCACACCAAATCCAAAAAAATGTAAAAAATTCCACCAGATATTCAAAATTGCATTGATGGTAAAGAAAAAATCTTTTATTCAATGATATTTCAATCTCTTTGTTTTTGTTTTTGAATTATGAAATAGAAAGTTTGATGATGCATGATGATGATAAAAATCTAGGTATGGCTCAGAAAGTTCATACTTCATAGCTTAGAAATTTGTCCATTACATAAAAAAATTAATGCAGGTTTCCTCTAATGAAGACTTATCTTGTAGAATAGATATTTTTCAAATCTTTGCTGTACAGCTGTAGCATAAATTACCGTTTTTTACAGTCTCTTAGAGACAAACAGTAAACAACAAAAGGCTCTCACCCTCTTCCAACGCCCGCAACATAGCCAAGTGGAGCAGGTAAACCTATAAAATTCTTCTTGGTTTTGTTAAGAAGAGCAGCTGGAGGCACATTCATTTTGATGAATTATAAACGATTAAAATGGCGAGAAGTAAACAGATTTCGAAAAACAAACGTTTGCGATAGTCAATACCACAAAATACGGACGACCGTATTATCCGTCGTCATGGAACATGGAGTAGAGTGGAATTATATCAAAATTTCCGAAAATGAAAAAAATACGTTTAATGACGTTTCTTCTCTTATTTCTCCATGCAAAATAATATAGGATTGTTAAAATTAATACCAAGGTACGATAAGTATTCACTGTCAAAATTTCAAATTCTAGGTATTATATTATGATTCCTTATAATACCACACATTATATCGGTATTGTACATATCCTTGCAAAGAAATGTTGATATTTTACTCGTATTCATTGTTTGACGTTTGCTCACGGCCTCTTGTTCTATTAATAAGAATGAAAGGCCCATTTACCAATCATTTTGCGTCATTTTTTTGAAGTCCATAATCCCGTTCCAATCTTTCATTGTTCATTGTTGGTGGCTCTTCAACTTGCCAGTTTCTTTTGAATCATTGTCCATGACGGTAACTTAAAAATTTTTACGTTAGTTGCAACAGTAGATTTGAATTTTTTATCAAAGGTTATTTGAAGGAACACCAAACATGGCCCGGAGGAAATGTTCAAGTTGATGTTATTCCTTTGCTTGGTGCTGTGAGAGAGTCTGCCAGCATGGAGGAAATTCTTCGAGAGGTAGCGAATTTGAACACTTCTGTAAAAATTCGATAATTAGAATTGGATTTGGTCTACTTAGACCATTTTATTGGAATACAGTAGTTATTATTAACGATGAAACCGACTGAGTACCAATAAAAACCTCAACGTAATATTCATTTCACATGTCTTTATGGCAACCCTTAATTAAATTATAATCCTTGGAATTATTCGTTTTTTTGGTTAATTTTATTAGCATTTAACATATGGATTCATCTGTAATTGCGAGAGTTTAAACAAATTCAGGTACTATTGAGGACACAATTTATCCGTATTGGTATTTCACACGCAAATATGTCATTTGCAAGAAGTTATGATACCCAATTTCTTCGTCTTATTCCCATTTCGACGAATATATCATATACACTCCCATGATATCAAATAATTTTCTAATGGTATATTAAATGAATAGAGTATATAAAAATAATCAATAAATCATGTGTTAATTATTAGTGCTTCTTGCAAAAAGTGTGTTAATGTTTGGGTAATACGACCCGTCCATTTTCTAAGCGTATGTTGGCCTTGAACACTCCTTGGTTGCTCAATGACACGAAGGCTCGGCACGTCCGGCTGCCATTCACACAATATTTCTTCGGGGAAATATGCTTCATGTCCTGCATACTGTTTTCCATATTATCTAAATTTGATATTTTTCATTCAAAAGTATTTGCAATAATTAATGGCCCATACAATAAAAAAAAATAGTGTACCTAGGACTATACGCGTACTACTTAAGCGGGCCATGATAGTACGGCCCCAGATCTTGCATATTATTTGGATCTATTCTATATTCTGATCTATTTTCTTTTTCTTATTTTTTTCTATTTTAAAGGACGTATAAATGATGTATAAAATGATATATTTTATACAGTTTATATTCCATTTACATCACAGATCGCATAATAACGTGCAATATTCACTCAGGCTTCTTTGAAATAATCACGCGGAGAACACGTTAAAGAATTATTAAGAAACAATTTAATGAGGAAGAAAATATATTTAGTGTCATTCATTTGCAGTTTCTTTCGAGATAGATAGAAACTCTGACCTTTGAGAACCTCATTATTCCGATTACCGCTGACTATTGGGAAATATTCTCATGTATTCATATCGAAGAGATAGCGTATATAAGTACTTATATTATCAGTCTGCTTATATCATCAGTTCGACTTAACTAAACTAAACTAACTATTAACTAACTTTAGTTTAGTCGAACTGATGATGGAGCTGAACTCGAAAAGTTTTCAACATCGATATGGTAAATTTTCTTGGCGTTTTCTTTACTTTTAAATTCCTTGTGAAGAGATAGCGACAATATAATTTTACAATATTATATCTATTCTAACTAAAAACGTATTTATTCAATCAAAAATATTCAAAGAAAATTTTTTAATTTTAATTTGACCTTCTCCGTTTTGCAGCGCCTCATAGAATAGAATAGAATAGAAGTGTCGGCGTTGAAGAAATAGGCCCATGGCCTGTTGCCGATTCTTGAACTTTTCGTGACTTGATTCACAAGGGATCCGACCTTTGAAACCCGATCTTTCCATAACTAACGATTGATTGAGATAGCTGCTGGACTTATTGCCTGATCCGTAATTCGCTAGGCATTTTAAGACTGAACATATGCTCCTGCATAGTAAAAATTATATATTTAAAAAATTTATATATTAAAAAAATTGAAAAACTAATTTTTTGATTTGAAAATTAAATGAGAAATTCATTGTACATTTGTAAGATTGAAGACACTGGATTCTTTAGAAGTGTTGTCTTTAAAAAGTAATTTTTAAATGTATATTATTAATGTTTATGATGATCAGTCAATCATAATATACCAAACCGATGTATGCATCTTGGGTATACGCTCGACTTATTATTTTCCAGCGTTAAACACTAACAAAATCGCGCTGTAAATCATGATTAATAATTAAAAGCAAAATAGTGCATTTTTGTATATCAAAGTGCAGTATAATTTATTATCAGGAGATCCCGGCGTGGCCCAGGATTGATAATTCCTCCCATTTTGGATCCCAATCCCATCATTCTCACAATCCCCTTCTCCTGTTAATAATGATAAAGCGTATTTATTACAATCAAATAAACAACATTTTACATTGAAGGAAGGACTTTCATTCTATTCTCGTTAAAAAAATAAACTTTTTGTTAAGTTTAAATTGAATTTCTATGTACGAATCGAATTTCTTACAAATCATATTTCAATTTTTCATCTAATGCTTCCCTTCCTTTCCTCCAATCGGTTCCTGTTTTTGACGCAATCTTAGTTTTAAACACATACACAAAAAAACTATGCTATGCACGTACACAAACTTTAACAAACATTTATAAGAAGAATTATTTTATTACAAGTATCTAGTAACAACGGAACGGGATTAAGAAGTATCCCCCCAAAATAATTTAAAATTGCAGACTCAATCAATTCAATGTTTTTTTTTCGTAAAGTAACAGGAGGCTTGTTTCCTTCGATCCGTACTCTTTTCTAATTTGTATCTGAATTATTTTTCATGTAGGTATATGAATCTTCGTTTCATTTCTATTTCGAAATATTTTGCTATAATCCGAATTGAGATGATACACCCAGAGTGAGTGCTGGGATATTGCATTGGGTGAGCGAAAAATGCACACCATTTATGATTAAAGCAACCAAATTGATAAAAAAATAAAACTCAGTACTCACTGCAGTGAGTGACAGAGAGCGCATTTTCTCGTCGACGAAAACTTGAGGTCACGGACGGACGGACAGACGGACAGACAGGCAGACAGACGGACATGGAGAGCACAATAGCGCATTTTTTCCATAAATGAGAAAATGCCCTAAAAACGATTGAACAGCAGTTTTCATCGACGATTGTATCCTACGAATAAAAGTATCGTGACTTGGCCACCAATTCTGTGCAAAGGACAATGGCCTGTCGTGTTTAGGATCCTAATTTCTGTTCGCTGCCAGAAAAGTGATTTTCAAAAAACTCACGGCACCGTGCATGCAATGGATATTGTACAATGGATGCTGGTGGGATGTCCAGTGATATTTACCTTGAAAATATCTTACCCAAGTTTATTATGAAGTCAGTTGTTGAACAACTTGAAAGAATTCGATTTTTCTGTTTTAAAATCTATAAATTTGTTGAAACGTCATAAAGTAATAATCATCAATCTTTTCCGTACGTTAAATTGGTCCTAGGAGTCGCGATTATAGTTTAATTTTTGCAAATTTAATCCCAACTCATGGTCTGATGACAGTTAAATTTTCCAAAGACTGAAGAATTATTAGTTGTACTTAAAATTAGTCACGATGAAATCATCATAACTTTATCAGTGCTTTTAAATATGGCCTAGAAATGAAGGACTTCTCTGTAACAGGATCGTATAATTTCGTGGCTTGGCGGCCAGCTTCAGCAGGCAAGCGCGTGTGCGAAAGGTCAGTGAGAAGGAAAGGTGATCGCTGCCTCGCCTGTATTGGCGGCAGCGGCATTTAGCTCACTCCTAACAACAACTATTTACTTGCAAACAAATTCAAACCCTTCAATTATATACTATTCATTATTTAGGTTTAAATAATTCCAGTTACTGGTTTGACTAATTTCTTTTAAGTTGAAACTTAAGTGATTCAACGAATGAAATATTGTTGAAAAACATGAAGATGCAATTCTACGATGATTTATTTATGACAGTAAGTGGTACGTCCATATTTCGTTCATTTTTCACAGTGCCTTGCAGCAATTGTGCGGTCACATGCATCGAAAGTTCTTTCCACAGGTAAAGAAGGACGGTACCGCGGAGGCGCGGATCACTAACGTAACCGATCAGTGCCTCTTTAGCTTGTGTAGAGGTAGGTAGGTGATGTGCTGATGAGCGCCAGTTTGACCTGCCTGGCTGTGTGGTCAGTTCTAAAACTCGGTTATACAGACCAGCTGCTTGTGTTGGCTTTCTAGTGCAGTTGTGAGGACGAATCGACTATATTTCATATTATAGTTTCATTCTTTCATGAATCACTAACGCGAAGGAAAGTTGAAAAATTTTCTTTCATGAAAAATTCAGTTCCAGACTTCCAGTTAAGCCGATGAGGTGGACTGTGGTGAGCTGTGATTTCGAGAGCCTTGAAACATTCGCAGAAATTTAAAGTGGCCTACAACCAATTTTTTTCAGCGCAACACAAATGCACAAATTAGTGGTATAGCCAATCACAATCAAATAGAGTTATGTTCTCTCTTACGTTGCATTTAATTATTTGCCTCGGGAATCCGGTTAGTTGGCGGCACAGTCATGCGCTGCGTTAGAATTAGGTTCTTTCGGATGATCTCAACGTGAAGAAATCTCTATGTTTTAGCCCAGTACAATCTTGAACTAGTAGTAGTTTTCGGATTAATTGT